GTCTCTGTGATTCCAATGAGATCATGATGCTGGGACCGCACATAGATCTCTAGTTCATCCTGCTTATTCCCGATGCTTCGCGCGTTGGTGTACAGGCATTTCAGGGAAGTAATCGAGCCTGCAGGTTTCCCAGGAGGGGTGAAAGAGGACCCTCTGTGATCATTTCCTATCCTCACTTCCCCACTAGCATACTCCCGCTGGACGCCATCTGACCTTGGCTGCGTGGTACTGTTTGCCGTGTCTGTGTGACACTCCCCTTCCCCCTTCTCGTCTAGTTTAAAGCCCTCCTAACCAGGTTGGCCAGCCTTTTGGCAAAGAGACATGTGCCCCTCTTGCCGAGGTGGTTCCCATCATTCCCCACTAGCTGGTGGTCATCAAAGAGTCCCATGGTCATAGGAGCCAAAACCCTGTTGCCAAGCTCAGTGGCGCAGCCAGTTGTTAATCTGCCATATCTGCCTTCTCCTCCTTGAATCCATTCCCCTCATTGGTAGGATAGAGGAGAACACTACCTGGGCTCCTATACCTTTGACTGCCATCCCTAGGGCTCTGAAGTCTCGCTTGATATCCCTCAGTTTCCCCATGGCATCATTTGTGCCCACGTGTAACAGTACCAGGGGGGTAATAGTCAGACTCCTGGACAAGCCTTGGGAGCCTCTCTGTAATATCCTTTATTTGGGCCCCTGGTAAGCAGCAGACCTCTCTGGATAAGAGGTCAGGTCTACAGATCGGTGCCTCCGTGGTGACTATCGTCATACTTAATATTGTTATTGATTTGTGAAAAAGTTATAGTTTAAAATTATACATTAGAACTGTGCTCAATTAATGTAAAATATTTTTCTGTAAAAGATCTGTTAGGCAAATAGGTATTAAATGGGATTGTCCCCTTTCCTCAGGAGAGCTAACCTACAGCTTTCAGTATTGAGTGCTGTTGCATGGGCCATCCTCCCTCTCCGTGGGCAGGTGTGATTCTTCCTTTGACAAGGTCCTCAGTCTGCTCTAGACTTTGCTGTAACACTGCAAAGCACTGATAATGCTAGAGGCTGCTCGTACTTAATAGCCTCTTGAATTCTTGTGTGTGTAAGTTTGCTGAGCAAATAGTGTTGGTGCTTGGGGATCCTGAGTGACTGAGGGTTCACCCACCCATCCAAAGAAATACCTGAGAAGTAGCCCATGTATTAGAGTAAGAGCTTGTATGAAGTAGCTCAAGACTTGCACTATTTACTGAGAAGTTTTTTTCTTTTCCTCTCCCCCCCCCCGCCACCAGAGTCTGTGTCCGTTCCCGCTGTTGGGATGCATGTATGGTTGTAGATGGAGGAACATCTTTTGAGTTTAACGATGGGGCAATAGCTTCAATTATGATTGATACGGAGGATGCACTGTGCACTGTCCTATTGGAAGAGTGAAGGACCCTAACGTGTCTTCTGTGGAAACAGTTCTGGATCCAGAGAGGGAGCTCCTGGAGATAGACAGCATGTCACATTGCTGCATTAAGTTGGAAGTTAACTTTTGGATGCAAGAACATTTGAAAGAAGCTTGAGATCCTTCTCCATCCTTGGGATGAGGAAATCTTAGAAACCTGATATTTAAGCTGTTTTGCACCTGGTGTAAAAGAAACGTATCTGAATTCTTACTTAAAACTTCAGCGAAAATTGACACTTCTAACCTGTAAGGCTGTTCTGGATGGGCTCGAGATTCGGCACTAATCAACCAGAACAAGGTGACTGCATTGAGCATTTATTCAGGTGAAAGCACATGAAAGCAGCAAAGTATGGATAACTACTCACGAGGTGATCCCTGCCAGTGGGATACTGGACCCGAACATCCTCTCGAGCTGGCAGATCAGAGAGAGAGAGAGTGTTGCTGACTGGCTCCCGCGGAGACAGCGCAGGCCTCAGAGTGAGGAGTTTCTCCTCCCCCGCTCTCTCCGCACTGTCCTCTCTGTGCTCGGTGCATCCTGGCACGTAGGGTCAGTACGACCCAGGAGGCAGGCCGGGGGGTGGACAAACTCCGCCTCTAGTTGCGCAACTCTCCCCTCTGGGTGTGCAGGCACGGGGGTCCAGCCCTCAATTCGAGGGTCCTGCCTTCCTCCTCTTCTTCCTCATTTCCAGGTGTTTGGCCTCCAAAGCTAGTTTGGAGGACGTCTGCGGTTAAGTTGGCTACAAGCCCGGACGAGCAGCCAGCTTCAACAGATTTCTGGGGGGAGTTGCCTGTGAACCGGGCTGAGCAGCTGCATCCGTGCTCCTTATCGCTCAGCCTAGGCAGGCAAACATCTTCTTTCCCAAGGTCTGGCCTCTGCTTCCCACAGGAGATTTTTATGGCTCTACAGATCACAGAAATTTCCATCTCCAATCCAGAGGACTGATACACAGTCCAGAGTGGAACATTGAGCCAATGGATCCTGCTTGCAGGACTTGCTTTATAAGCAAGGGCTACACTTCCAACTGAAGAACAAACAAGCTTTCACCTACCCATTCTTAAATTCATAAATTATCTGCCTCATGGCGGAGGAGTAAGATTCTGCGATAGCAAGAATATCACAAGCAAAAGATCACTCTTACTGCATTATATTTCTATTACACATAGCAGATGTCAACCAGAAGAAAATAAAAAAAGGCTGTTTTGCCATTTAGCTCAATAAATCAGCTGATACTTAAAACAATATATCTTTTCCCCCATAATAAGATAAATGCTGCTCTTTACCTGATATCTGCAGATTCTGTCTGTAGCCACTTAAGTTTAATTGGGTTACTTTTGAAGTAACATGAGTGACTGCTGCTTTGACGTAGGCAGCTGTGAAGTTGCACCAGGACAAGTTCAGCTCCTTCAATTTATACAAAAATTAACAGAGGGAAGCACGAGCTCCTTCAATTTATACAAAAATTAACAGAGGGAAGCACGAATGGAAATAGAAGTTTTTGCATTAAAAGTATCATTGAATTAGATAAATATCAGAACTCAAACTGTAATGTAGCTACTACCAAGCTGCTATTAATAAGTACATATTTCACTCTTAGAATAATTAGGCTTTGGAGCAGGTTGCACATAAAGGCTGTGGAATCTCTGTCCTTGGAGAGTTTCACGACCTGATCAGAGAAAGCAACCTGGTTGGTGCTGAATTCAGAACTTGCTCTGAGCAGTGGGTGGAAGGGGCCTCCCAAGGCCCCTTTCCAACCTGGATAATTCCACACGATTTTAGGATGTGAAATAGTTATCTCAGGAGGCTGCCAGAAGGAGATACTGTCTTTAGTCTTGTTTCTTGGTTGGTGACTTGACTCTTACTACTGAATAATCATTCACATTTAGAGAGGAGAAAAAAAAAAGGGGGGGAAGACGACCACTGGTTAGCCATGATTAGTGTGTGGCAGGTGGCATATTTTACAGTTTTATGTAAGTATTGGTCATGTTGCGACCCTAACTCTCTTCATATGCTTCATACCTATAGATTATCACTATTCAGGGACAGGAACAAAGTTTTATTTTTCACCCTTGGGTTTTTGTATATGCGCAGGCACTGATCAGTGTAACCAGAGGACACAGACACAGCAAACAATACAAAGCAGAGCCTCTAGCGGGCAATCTCTATATAAACACACACACACACACACACAAAAACAAATTATTAAAGCACTGAGGTTATTAAAGCACAGAACATCCCAGGAGGACACACACTGGTGAAGCCAATCCATACACACACTGCACGGTTTCTGTTCTGTTGATAATGAAATGGGCCCACATTGCCACCAGCATTACTAGCCCAGCTCAGTTTTTCTGAGTGTTATGCACTGTACAGAGACAGCCATTCCCTAAAGAGCTTATGATCCAAGTAATCAGACCAAGCAATAGAAAGCATTATCTGCCCGTGAGGCAAGGCAGAGAGAGATTAAGACTTTGTCTCCCCACAAACTTGCAGCAGTTTGATTAAAAACATGTTTTTGCAGAAGCAGTGATTAAGTAGTTTGTCTAGCAACCCCCAGGAAGTCAGCAGAAAGGCCAAAATAGAAATCCCAGATCTGTTAGGGGTCAATTCAATGACTTCCTGTCAGCAGATGTTTTAATCACTGGAGCTGAACACTGCACTTCATAAAGCAGAAGGTCAGTATTGAAGGATTATTTTAACATGGATGGAATGACACAATGTTTTCTGTCATCCAAACCGTACTCTGCATATAAAGGGAGATCTCAGACTCCACTTTAGAGCTGCAAAACACTCACTTTGCAAGGATGACATATTACTTTCATTAAGAAAAATCAAATTTGGAACATAATCAAAGGTGCCTTTTATCTGCCAACAGGACTTTATTTTTGCTGTTAAAGAAGAAAGTAGCTTGGTGAAAACAAACTGTTAGGCGTTTGGGAATACAAACAGGTTCCAAAGAGAGATACTAAGAGACAAGCACAACGGGGGAGCCCAAGCAACAAAAAAAAAATAGGAAAAAGAAAAAAGAATAGAGAAGATCATTTCTCTCCGGAACAGCAGTAAGCAGGAATAGCAAAAACTGTTTTTGTCTTACTCAGTACAGCTGCTCAACATCAACTCCAGGGCTTCTGCCCTGAGCACCCACAGAAATTTAGTCGTATCAAACTGGGATTCTGAGCAATGCTCCTGTAGGGAAGAAAAAAGAAAAGTCAGGTGAAATGTAAGTGTTGAAACATCACTTGCATTGCTCAGATGTTAAGAGCTGAAATTCCAGGCTCAGAATTGTTAAACATGCAACACTTATCCTTATTAATCTGATCAACCTTCGAGTCGGTAAGGATTTTGGCTCACAGCACAGCTTGGAAAGGAATACCTGCCCATTTAACTGATGACCCTGGTAAGTTTCCATATTTATAAACTGCTAAGTGTAAAAAGAAACATAATTTCTTCTCACCTTCTGCTGTTGTAAGCCAATGAACAAACCCCATGCCTTATCAGAAGTGCCTATACCTCTAAAAAAGACTGCGTTTCTCAAGTCCCCATTTCTCAAGTCATCTCTCTATAAGTGAGAAATGGTGCAGAGCACACAGAGCACCAGGTGGAGCAGTTGCTAGGACCTCTTCAAATAGAAAGGGGCACGTGCACTCTGGGAGTGCAGAAATGGGAAAATAAAAGTTAGTAACAGCTAATTCTGGTACTTGCCAAAAAACAGGCATGGTAAAAGACTCCCACAGTGCCCAACTGCGTAATTTCACACAGCCTGCACAAAAGAGTGGCACCAAACAAAGTATTTATTGAGCATTTCTGATATGCCACTCACTTGATGATGTCATCAGAAAGAACTAGCCATTCCAGGCTCAGGTTCTGCAGCTTCTCGCATCAACAGAGGATACTCTGCAGATCTGCAACAGATACTGTGCAGTTCGACAGATCCATATGTTGAACCCTGAGTGGTCTAAAAAGGAGAAAGGTGGATTACTAGAAATAAATTAAAAACCAACCCCCAAATTCCAAACAATATAAATATCTCTACTAAGACAAATGTGCACAAAGCCTGCAGAAAATAATTGTGCATTTGTACCTTAAATAAATATTGCTACTTAAACCAAGCCCACTGGATCTACTACTAAGCTACTAACCAAAGCTGCCGAACTCTTAACTTCAAGGTGAATAAATGTAAGATTCATCACAAGAGCTGCAAGTCTATCCTGCTGGACTTAAACCATTTCATTAAACATCACCTATAAAAGTGTCTGGCAATTCTTGCTTCTAAAATAAAGAAATGAATTTCAAGTGGGTTATGATCCTCATATTATGCTTTCAAAAACTACATTAACTTGCTTTTAAATAACTGACTGATGAACACAAATCCTCTTATTACAACACATGCCTAAACAGTGATCAGCCCTACCACACTACAGAGACGTCACAAATACTACCATTTGGATTTTAACAAAAAACACACAGAAAGCAGTGAAGACTATATGAGATTAACGACTTCAGGATCCAGAACACGGAGAAAACTTTACTTGATGTTTTTAAACAGTGGATTCCCAATACAGGATCTCGGGCAGCGGAAAACAGTAACACCTGCAGGCAGCAACTGCCTGATGACTGCTGGCAGCAGATTCCTGCCAGCCAGATCCAGAGTCTGCCAGAGGGATTCATCATACCTAGGGCACAGAATTGTACAGGTTAGTGAGAATAACTGAGGCAGAACTACAAGCACAACAGAAAGCCTTCAATGACACAAAGACTGAGGGAAAGCACATTAAACCCATTCAAGAAAATGTATTAATGCTAAAATACTTGAGTCATCTCTTAAAATACATACATATAAGCCACATGCAGTATCAACTGAATTACACATGAAAGCACAAGTCAAGAACTAGACCACTTAACAATCTCTGGAAGCAAAGCTTTCCTTAGCACCAAGCAATACTTACAAGAGACGATACCATCTCTTGCAAATCAGGGAAACTTTTAGCAGGTCCTTTAGGGGCAAATATGCAAAGATTGCCAATAGCAACTCATCTGGAAGCGCATCCCAAGAAACACCTTGAAGGAAAGAAAGAACGAACATGTTTTAGTTAGAGCTGGCTCATTTTGGCCTGCTGATCAGATGCCTTTTTGGCTTTGTGGTTATATGCTCAGTAAGCACTGCTATATCGTCCCTAGGCTATACATACACCCAACCACTGCTCAGTCCCCTTTCATGTTTTCATTACAGGAAGACATTATGACCATTTTTGCGTAGGTGTAACAGGCAAAAGCAGAACTTCCATAGCATTGACTTGGTGCATATATGTCCTGAAGCTATAGAAAAACATTTTTTTTCTGAA